GATGGAGCATCCACAACTTCTGAAGGCAATTTCTGTTCCACTGGTTAATTGTCCTCACTGTTAGGAAATTTCTCCTTGGTTCTACGTTGCTTCTCTCCTTGATTTGTTCCCATCCGTTGTTTCTTGTCCTGCCTTCTGGTGCTTTGGCACTGTTGTGGCCCGCCAGCCGCCAGGGGAGCTGGTGGCAGACTCAGAAAGTGAGGAGGTTGGGGAGGAAGATGAGCCAGTCCTGGAGTCTGGGGAAGGCTCTGATACGGGCTCTGCATTAGAGGCAGAGATGGGGCCAGGCCCATCCGACATTTATCAGCTGCCTTCGGAATCGGACATCAGTGGGTCAAAAAAACAGCTGGAGCATGTTCCCTGTGTGCGCATGCACAGAGCTGCCAGGAGAAGGGAACAATTAAGGAACAAGGGCTGACTCAGCAGTAAAGGCACAGGTGGACGGTGAATGGCCCCTCCCATGGGGAATAAAGAGGAGTAAAGGGGGAGTGGAGTTTGCAGGAGACAATAAATTTGCTTAATTGGTGTGAAGATTTGTTTGTGACTCTCAGAGACTCCTTGCCAAGCATTTTCTTATACAGTGTTTCATTTGGAAGATATTGGCCTGGCAGCTCTCCAAGCCTGATAAGGTCTGTGGTTGCAAATTCACCCTTGAAAGACTGTTTGCCAGCACTGTGCTGGATGTGAATGAGAGGAGTCCACATTAGCTTAATCAAAAGGGGTTTTGTGGGGACAAGGAGTCTGATTTGTGGTATTGTAAAGCCTAGGTTAGAATAGGCACCTTGTCTTGGTTTCCTATGCTCTTGGTTCCCGGGGGGGCTGAGTTCCCAGAGAAACTTCAGCTGTGTAATAGAAAGCCAACAGTTTGCATTTCTGGATGGCTTGTTCAAATGCCTTTTCCCAGAATAGACTGGGAGAGGAATTCAGAGGCCCTTGGTCTACGAAACTGGGTGTGTGTCTCTGTTCAGCTGGATTGCTTGTTGAATAGTCCCTCCTTTCGGAGGTTAGCCACGTGAGTAAATTAAGCATTTGTGGCATTTTAATCTGTTTTCAGATTCATCTGTGACAGAAATATAAAAAGCGTTGCCCAATAAAGCGATTTACGGGACCTAGAAATGGAGACAGTCTGGCTTGACATACTCAGGGCTTCTGCAGTGGTAGAAAACTGGCTTTGTATCCTTGGCCACTAAATTAAGTTGGGTTGGGAAAAACGGCGCCACGAAGGATCCCCTTCTTGTGGTTCAGTTACTAGCCCCGGGCTACCTGTGGATTTCTCACACGGAAAGGACTCTTGGTGGCTTTAAAGGAAATAACTGTCTGACACGGGTCCTCTGGTGATTTGGACCTGGAGATACCCTTAATGAGAATAGAGCCGGAAGGGACCTTGGAGGTCTTCTAGTCCAGCCGCCTGCTCAAGCAGGAGACCCTCTACCATTTCAGACAAGCGCCTGTCCAGTCTCTTGTTAAAAAATCCTCCAGTGATGAAGGCAACTTCTAAAGGCAAGCTGTTCCACTGGTTAATTGTCCTCACTGTTAGGAAGTTTCTCCTTAATTCCAGCTTGCTTCTCTCCTCGATTAGTTTCCACCCATTGTTTCTTGTCTTGCCTTCTGATGTCTTGGAAAATAAGTTGACCCTCCTCCTCACTGTGGCACTCTCTCAAATGCTGAAACACCACTATCATGTCATCCCTACTCGTCCTTTGCTCTAGACCTGTGTTGGTGAACCTATGGCACAAGTGCCACAGGTGGCGCGCAGAGCTCTCTCTCTGCAGGCATGCGAACCGTAGCCCAGCTCAACTTCATCGCGCATGCGTGCGCGTCTCCCGCTGGCCGGCTGGTTTTCAGGTCTCTGCCACGCATGCACGGGGACGGGGATCGCAGGTACATGCAGAGGGGGAGCATGGGGGATGCCCCCCCCATGTGGCACATTTTTGGTCCCAGGAGGCTTCAGGGAGTCCTGCTAGGCCCAAAACGGGGCATGGAGGGGAGCGCGGGAGGGTCACATGCTTATGTATTGCATTATGGGCATGGGCACATGCGCGCTGTCGCGCGGGCAACTTTTGACACACGAGGACGACAAGGCTAGCCATCCCTGCTCCAGACTAACCGGGGGCAATTTCAGGCATTCATAAGATAAGATGCTCAAGACATTCCAGCAAAATTTGGAATCACCGTATTTAGAACCCAGAGAAGGATAAGGAAGGCTTAGAAGTCTGTCTAACTTTCCAACTTGGGGTGTCCTGCATTGATTGTGGGCTTAGAGGCGCCGGGGTGCCCCTTTGTAAAGTGATGGGGATCGGCGGATGGCATGGCCTTACGAGGCTTTTGGCTCAGGATTAGTGGGAGGCAGCCGTGGGAATTGGGAAGGTAGTAGAGCCCCTTCCTTTTTTCAGCAATGGACTTTTCTCCATCCCAACAGACGGACGCAAGCCTTTCCCGATAAACCATGGCGAGTCCAATGTCGACACCTTCCTAGAGGTAGGAATTCTCAAGCCACTTTTATTGGGTTTTATTGGCCGTTTTATTGGGTTTCCTGTAAGAAAGCAGCAGGGGGCTCACTGTCCACCACTGTCCAAGCAGGACCTGCTCTTCTAGAAAGACGCAGCCAGTGTGGTTCAGTGAGTTCTGCTCAGCTTTATAACTTCCTTGCCACCGTTGTTCAGTGCAATTGTTAAGTTACCGTATTTTTCAGACTAAGGCAGACCAAGATTTTGAAGAGGCAATTAAAAAAAAATGTTTTTTTGCACTCTGCAAACCTTCCAAAAACGGCCCGTATTTTGCAAAAACAGGCCCATTTGTTCTTTCTTTCTTTCTTTCTTTCTTTCTTTCTTTCTTTCTTTCTTTCTTTCTTTCTTTCTTTC